AATCTTCTGACAGCTTAATAATGCATCACAAAAATGGGACTGGCTTAAATTAGAGGGACAAGTCAGTTCCTTATGCTTCTTTAACACGGGCACTTTACCACACACACACACATTACGATTCCATAGACACTTACTTTTTGTTTGTGTTGCTGTCTCTTCTTTTCTTTTTTTCCAACGACAATGAGCCAAGTCCTCTCACCTTTAGTAGTTTAGATCGTTCAGGCTAAGGTCTGAGTTTGAGCATTAAGATTGGCTTCTTATTTAGAGGGTTAATAAAATATCTTGGTGTTGACTTTCTGACTGACCTATTTGGCCCAAAACCTAAAGCTAAAAGAACTCTTATTAGACTGAATATACTTACACACTAAAGGAAATTATGATAATGTGTATATTATCTTGAGATCCCAATGACAAATGCTCTTTCCAGCACAATGTCATCTCATTGCTCACCCCATCATTTTCTTTTTTAACTTGATGCGAGGTAGCAAAAGTCTTTTTGGAAGTTTGTTATGCAATGTCATCATTTAAAAGTGCATAGTAAGCTCAAACAAAGCAGAGCAGGGCGGTTTGAAAATCAAATTCAGTGATCTAAATTTGGATGATTTTCATTGTGCAGTAAAGTGCCATGCATTACTTCTATTGTGAACCTTAACAATGAAATAGATAATTGGTTTGTGCGATGATAAACAACTTACACACTTGATTAAGGTAAGGAACAAATCAGGCTCATATTCTAATGAAAACAATGTTAAGAATTGACTAGCAGAGACATCACTGCTTCCAGAGGCTGCTGTCTTGCTGCTTCGCCTCTCCCTGTCAGAATATAGGCAATGCACTTAGTCTAAAACGCCTCATTTACCATGCTTTGTGGGTGGGCCCTCTTTCACAGTGACACGGTAAAATAATTGGCTAAGATCTATTTTGGTAGGTCTATTTTCATAGATTTAATGTGTTAGTATTGCTTTCAAAGTGCATCTCTTCAATTAATCAAATGTTCTACCATTACCAGACTACCCATAGAGGGTCAGAGTTCCACACACTGAATCCCATGGGAAAACTGCAACATCAAATACCTTAAAATAATCACTACACCTCCATGCCATAAGCTGGCTGATGAGACGGCTGAGCTCACAGAGTGCTTGATCATACCTGCTACCAGAGATCAAACGGTGACAAAAGGTTGATCTGAAAATATAAACAACTGCCCAACCCTGAGGGGTGTCATCAAAGTGAATGTGGTTGATGACACAGGAAGGCAAAGGCACAGGAGAGTGCACATTTAAGCCCCGAGTGCTGTACCTGAGCGCCCTTTGAGCTCTGTAGTGACCGCAGCACTTCTAACAGAGCAGTCAGAGTACACTAAGCCGGAATACCACCTTCAGCTCAACAGCTCCCTTTATGGACACTGCTTCGGGAGGTTGGGGATCATTTTAGTGGGTGTCAGGGTAAATCTTCCTGCTTTTGAGACAATTTCCAAAACCCGAGCAGCAGGGAGTCTGAACAGTCTGTAAGTGAAGGCGAGAATGAGAGATTGGCAACGAAAAGCAACAGAGGGATGGAAGAAGAAGAAGCATGGGCTACAGAAGAAAGAAAGAGAGGTGAAATAATGGCAGGATGAAGCATGAGCCAGATGGAGGGGAGAAAGGCTCGCTTGCCTGCTCCAGTGTGTGTGTGTGTTGTGCGTGCGTGCGTGCGTGTGTGTGGCAGACTGAGTAAGCCTCCCTTTATTTGTTGTAAGGATTAAGAGGACAGCTCCAACACATGCACATTCTCGGGCTTAATGCGGTGAAAGACTGAACACATTCACAACTGTGGGTGCGTGAAAAAACTGTGCACACACACACACACACACACGTATATTGGGCTGCAGAAATGAGGAGCACATTCAACAACTCTTGATGAAGGCTCCACCACAGGATCAGAAGCGAAGACAAAGACAGTTTAATACGCAGAGTGGGACGCTTTGAAGGCCGAGACATACTGTTGACACTTCAAGAGGGCTGTGATGTAATGTGATTAGCATTGGTGTCCCACAGTATTTTCATATCTCACTTTTTCTTTTTTTTCTTTTTTAATCGGGGCTGTTAAGCAGAGTTTCTTCCCTCATCTGAATGTGTGTTTCCCTGAGGCAGAGTGGTGTGCTCCTGCATGAGGAAGCTTAACCCAGTGTGGTCACACAGGTCAAACACTATCATACCAATTCCCTGGGTTTGAGTAGCTGCTAATCTCAGCTGGCTCGGGACTGGATTATCCAATTAAAAAACTCTGACCCCTGCAGTGACCCACTCAGCACCGAGCAGAGAGGCACACACTGCCACTGTAAGAGATAAACAGGACAGGATGGATCTTTGGAAGTAAAGGTAGGAATTGGAAAGATTTTCAGTAATTACTTTCTTAAAGTGGGTGAAATTGTACCAACATTTGTTATATTGAAATTTTTATTTTCTTCCAAACTCAGCCATTTATTGACTTTGAAAGGTAAACTCACTGGTTAAATTATAGTGCCGGTTGCACACCCAAAGCCTCATTCCCTGACTCATCTAAACTTAAGTTTAACACACTAAAGTTTCAAAGCATTATACTTGTCAAGCTGAAATGGAGAATCAACAGATTAGTAACTGATATGGTCTGATAAAATATTCATACGGTTTTATTTTCATCAATACAAACATCGGTGCTAGTTTCTTTTTATTGTATTTATTGGAATTGTGGATTATCTGTTTCAGGGAAATCAGCTTTACAGAGTACGGAACAAATAACAAAGAATATTCATTATTAACAACATGCAGGCTGAGTTTGTGGACGTCACATCAGAGCCTTAAACTCAAGATATAAAAGCCAAACACTTGATACCTTAGAAAGACAGACTGCTGCAATGTGGCCACAGATTGGCTGGTTAGATTACGTATCATGATTAAAAGTATTTGCTTGGATAAATTCCCAAAAAGTATAGCAGTGGCATCAACTTGACATTAAATAGTTCCAATACACATCTAATCAATGTTAACCATGCTACATTTTTCAAAAAGTGTTCAAACTTGTGTTATTGGTTATTTTATGTTGAACTCGTTTGCCTGTTCCATTAAATCCCATCTCTTCATGTTAATTATTTCCTCTTGCGCAAGTAGACCGCGTCAGTCAACTGTGCCCTTGCTGATTTGATCAGCGGAAATTGTTTTCATTTTAATAATCAGAAACCAATTTTAGAGGCTTCCAACAGATTCACGACAAGAATGCTGCATGCCGTCTCTGCTGCACTGATGTTTGTTTACTGCATTCACTTCACAGCGCTAGAGATTCACCCCATAAAACTGTCAGTCAGACAGTGTGACACACACACACACACACACACACACACACACACACACACACACACACACACACACAA